ATATTATATATGTACATAAAACATTCACATATGTATGTTCTTCTATAAGAAATAACATATTATTCAATAATTATTTACATATGATATAGTAAGTTTAATTAATTCATATAAAATATAAGAAATTTACGTAAATCCGCCTAGGCCGCCTAGGCGCCTGCCTAGATTCCGCCTAGCCGCCTAGGCGCTAGGCGCCATCCCACCGCCCGATTAGAGCCTTGCGTTTTTTAGAACCTTGTCTGAATATTCCAAGAACAGTAGAAAAATATGAAAGAATAAGATAGGCATTTTCGTCTTTTAATCATTTCAAGAAAAAAAAATAAACATGTCAAAACTAAGAATACAAACAAAATACCTAATTTTAAACAGTCAAATCTGTAAACGGGGTTTCACATGCTAAGTGTGAATTAATACAATAATATTCCTTACATTAAAAACATAACATAAAAGCAAATGCAATCACTTAATATTTTGGTCTAGTTATATTTCAATCCACATTTACGTGACAATTATTACATTTAACTTCTACAAATGGTGTATTTGATATAATTTATTATGATTGACTCATTGTGTGTCTTAGTCTAAATCTCCCACACTTTAGTTTTAAAATATCGATCCAAAAAGAAAATTAAAAAAATCAAATGCAAAAGTGTAAGGTTGATAACTTTTAGCCACTTACTACGGACTAGTGTTATTACTTTTCACTTATAAGTGAGAGGTCTTAGTTTCAATTATCGCCAAAAGCGAGTTTGAACCACATTATTGCTAGCCCATTGTGAGGCTTAACCAACTCTCACATCTCTTTAATGTAAATAATACCGTTTGTTAAAAAAAAAATACAAAACTTTTGAATCTCAAAGGCGTTTACAATCTAAGAATCGAAGTAAGCAAAAATCTAGTTACTAATTGTTAGCAGGGCCGGCCCAAGCCCAGTGCCACATGGGCAACAGTCCAGGGCCCCAAAATGAAGGGGCACAACAAAAAAACCCATATAACTAAGTATAATAATAATGATAATAATAATAATGTTCACAGCCTAAATAGGGGCTGGCAAGAGCCCAAGAGGCAACAAAATGACCCATCAGTAGATCAGAAAAAAAAAAGACATAACAAAACATAACAGGGACCACTCGGTCCCAATTAAAAACCCTAATCCCTAATACTTCCAACCTTTCCCGATTCCCCTCCCCCCATTTTGTTCCCTACATCCCCCACTTCTCTGCTGCCGTCCCCTGCCTCTCCATTTTCTTTCTCTTAATCCATTGGTTGGTGCAAGCTTTAATGTTTTTATGCTTCCTCTTGAGTTGGCAACTCAAGTCAACTCTCAAGTCTCAATTGCAAGCTGCTGCAAGTAGCTAGACAGACAGGGCCTCAGGGCATCCTCCACACTCCTCAACTCAGCGCGCCGCCAGGTCATTCACCATTGGCATTGGTTGCAAGTGCATTCACTCACCACCAACCCTTTTGAGCTTTAAGGTAAACTAATTTTTAAAATTTGAATTATCAATTTATAATTTAATATAAAATTTTGCAATGCAAGTGACATAGAATTATATGATAAATTGATAATTGATGTATAGAATTATTGTTGTTGATGAATTGAATTCTTGACTAATTGATTATTGAATGATTTCATTTCATTCAAACCCAATTTTTAGGTTCAATTTTTATAATATGTTAGACTATGTGCTAGTGTTTTTATAATATATAATGTGTTGGAATGATAATTTTGATAGGAAAATTTTGTTATATCATGTGTAGGTAATTTGTGCAAACAAATTATCGAAGCCATGTCTTTTAGGAAACAACTCTCTGGTAATATGAAAAGAAAAAAGGCAAATGATAACGAAATTGCCGAAAGTTTAAGAGAATCTCTTAATAAAAATTTCTCTACAAAAAATGAGTCAGTTGAAAATTTGAGAGAAAATGATGTAGGTGAAGAGCCACAAAATGTTGTTGGGGAGTCTCATGATCATGAAAATGGTAGTGATTTAGAAGAAAATGTTGGTGATGAGACTCAAGACCATGAAAATGGTGGTGATGTGGATTTAAATATTGATGATGATCATATTGGTGTGGAGGAAAATATAGAATCTCATGAACCTATTTTCCATTTAAACATTTATGATCCAAGAGTTTGTGATGGTCTTAATGCAGAAATGAGAGACTTACTTGTAGAAAATGGGCCAATCGAGAAACTAATCTCACTTATCCTAAGGACAAACTCTCTAGAAAATTTTTCTCACACTACTATGATCGAAAATACCAACGGGTGAAATTTATAATAGGAAATGGCTCGTGTACTCAAAAGAGTTAGATAAAGTCATTTGCTTTTGTTGTAAATTGTTTAAAACAATTGCCTCAAAAAGTGAGTTAGCAAAAGATGAAATTAGTGATTGGAGACATCTTGGTGTGAAGCTTGACCAACATGAAAAGAGTAAAGAGCATCTTACTAATTCGAGAACTTGGGTTGAGTTGAAAAGTAGATTGACAACAAATCAGACAATTGATAAAGAATTTCAATTGTGAATCAAGAAAGAGACAAATCATTAGAAGCAAGTGATGTTTAGCATTATTGCTGTTGTGAAATGTCTTGTCATACGTAATTTAGCATTGCGTGGAACAAATGAAAGACTTTATGAAGACTATAATGGAAACTTCTTCGGTTTACTTGAAATGATTGCGGAGTTTGATCCAATAATGTAAAAGCATTTTCGACTCATTGAGAATAAAGATATTCATCACCACTATTTGAGTCATAAAATCCAAAATGAGTTGATAGTTATTTTAGCTTCAAAAGTCAAAACCGCAATCATTAAAAAAGTAAAAGAAGCCAAATTTTTTTTCTGTCATTCTTGATTGTACTCCTGATGCAAGTCATGTGGAACAAATGACTTTAATTTTTAGATGTGTTGACTTGTCAAGTAGGTCAATAAATATAAGGGAGTATTTCATGGAGTTTTTAAATGTGGAAGATACATCAGGACAAGGACTTTTTAATGAGTTGCAAGATGTCCTAAAATCTCTTGATCTTGATATTGATAATGTGAGGGGACAAAGTTATGATAATGGATCTAACATGAGAGGGAAACACCAAGGTGTCCAGAAAAGATTGCTAGACATAAATCCCATAGCCTTTTACATGCCATGTGGTTCTCATTGTCTTAATTTAATAGTTTGTGATATGTCAAGTTCATGTCTTAAAGCAAAATCTTTTTTTGGAGCATGTCAATGCATATATACGGTGTTTTCCAACTCTACAAAGCGTTGGAATATTTTGCTTGAACATATTGATGGTTTAACTTTGAAGTCATTGTCAACTACTCGATGGGAAAGTCACATTGAAAGTGTTAAAACAATTAAATCCCAAATAACCCAAGTTATAAATGCTTTGTTTACGTTGGTGGAAATTATTGAGAATCCCCAATTGAGTAGAGATGCAGAATGTTTAGCATCATGAGAACTTTCTAGTTTTGATTTTGTATTAAGTTTGGTTATTTGGTATGACATTTTGTTGAAGATTAACATGGTGAGCAAAAAATTACAATCTGAAGACATGCGTCTTGATGTTGTTGTAAAAGCATTGAAAGTACTTGTTACTTTTTTTGAAAACTAAAGAGAAACTGGTTTTGCTTCAGTCATGCGTGATGCTAAAAAAATTGCACTTGAATCGAAAATTGACCATGTTTTTCAAACTAAACGTCATAGACCTAGAAAAAGACATCATGATGAAGTTGATGGTAAAGAGAGGGAACAACAGTCCGCTGAAGAATCATTTAGAACATATTATTTTCTTGTTATAGTGGATATTGCTCTTTCTCAACTGAAACACAGGTTTGAACAGTTAAAGACTTTTGAATCTATTTTTGGCTTCTTGTTTGATGCACCGAAGTTGATTTCATTGGATGATCAACAACCAAAAGAAAATTGTATGAATTTTGAAGAACATTTGAAACATGGAAATACCATGGATGTAGATGGAGCCGACTTATGTTCCGAATTACAGGTGTTACAAATGATGTTACCAGAAGAAGCATTTTTCTCTAATAACCCTTAGACATCCATGGAAATAGCAAACTTTGTAAAAGAAACTGACATGTGTCATAATGTCTTGATTGCTTGTTGTGTACTGTTGACTATACCACTATGACTCAAGATTGGCTAAATGGATTAGCAATCTTATGCATTGAAAATGATGAGATTGAAGACTTGGAGTATGATGATATAATTGATGATTTTGCTTCAAAAAATGCCAGAAGACAATTTCTTAAAGGTTGAAATTTCAAGGAGTTTTGCTAGGAATGGTTGTATATGATTGTATTTTTGATTGTCGGGGTTTAGGTACTATGTTTCCCCCGTTGTATATTTTCTTAAGTAATATAATTTGGGCGTGAGAGCCTAGCCCCCCATCTTCGACTGGGTTCCAGCCCTCGTTAAATATTTTTTTTGAAACATATGTTTTCGTATTAAAAAAGGCCACATCTTGAGCTTTCATACTAGGCACCAAAAAACACAGGACCAGCCCTGATTGTTAGGAATCGAAATGAAAAATGTATAAAAAAAGAGACAGGTGAATTCTAAGTTCCAAAAGCATGTTCAAAAAAGGAAAAAAAGAAAGGAAAAATAATGAAAATAACTTGAAAATTTTAAGTTTGAATCAAAATGACAAAAATGTGTTGTAAGTAAATAGTACATGAAGTGATTTTTTAAAGTAAAAATATCATTTTCATTAAAGATAAACAGTACTGAAAGTGTTTCGTTAAAATTCTTAAAAAAGAATTGAAAAGCAAAAAAGGACATTTTTGTAATTGGGGTGGGGGGCATCCGCTCCATCTCCCACGGGTGACGTGCGTTCGCGTTGAATTCCGAAAAGGCAAGGGCAAAGACGCGTTCTTTTGCTTTGGTTAGGCGAAAATGCAAATGCGCGCCCTTTTCTTTCCCCTGTTTCCTCCGTCCTGTTTTTTTTTTCGTGAAAAAAATATAATATATATATTTATTTACTTCCTTTCCTTCATTCTCGTAAGAAAATTAATACTTTTATATTATTATTTCGTGAAAATTACAATAATAATATATGACATCTGAATTCAATTCCCTTTCTCAACTCCAATTCTGATATCTCAGGTGATCGTTGTCGACCGCAATTCCCGCAACCTCGAAAGTCCTCTATCTCTCTCTCTCTCTCTAAAGAAAATTCACTTTCTGAATCACTAGGGTTTCATCGTCTCCTTCTTCAGGTACTTTCACCTTGTAGATCTAAATTGGATTTCTTTGAATTGCATCCTCCATTTCTAGATCCCACTCTTTTTCTATCATTTTTTGTTTGATAATTGATTTTTTAGCATGTATTTATTTCTTTTGGGAATTGTTTATTTGTGGCCTGCAAATACATTGTTTCATATTTTCATTCTGCTTGAAGGAGGTGTGGTGGTTTTTCATCAACTTTTTGTTTGAATTGTTTATTTGTAATTATTATTGCAATATTATGATTCTTTGTGACCGAAAGGTCACGATTTTGAGTCGTGAAAACAGCCTATTTGCAATGCAAGGTAAGACTGCGTAGATAGACGTTTTCTCCGGACCCTGCAAAGCGGGGAGCCTTGTTGGCTTGGGGCCGCCCTTTATTTGTGGGAAAATTTGAAAACAATATGGGTGGAGAATTTTGACACTCATCATTAAATCTGGTATAGCAGCTATAGCTCAAGTTAGACACAACAAAATTTCGATGTACCTGCCTACCTGGTGATCATTGTTTAGTTACCAGTTTTTTCATATTGATGGATCATTTGGGTTCACGTACATTTTCCGGTTCCGCTGTTTACAAGGATGCTACATTCCCACAAGATAGATATAACTTATAGGGCAACTTAAAAGATAGATTAATAGGATTATTGCTGTTCTTACTGTAATTTTCATATTATTCTCGTGCATCATATAATCATGGAGAACTGGTGGCTTCTATTGTATCTTGTATGCTAATCGTTTTGTACTTCAATCATTTAGACTCTTAAATCCAAGTTAAATCTTGCTTTGTTTACTTGATGTGCTCTGTGCTTGCTAATCATTTTGTTTCTCGTAAATCAATTCCTTTCACAATCAGGTTTCCTATACATAATCTATATGTTGCCGAGCAATTTCATGTTTTTAGTTCTGGACAAGGAGCTGTATTATAATCTGGGACAAGGAACGATATTGGAAGTGGAGAGTTAAGTCATGATGGTTGATTTGGGCCTTTCACTTGCTAGGTTTGTGACCGCTGCGGATGGTTATGGTCCGTTTCTCTTAGGGTGGCTGGTCACTGGGTCATTCGGGCTTGTAGCTATCATCTTTGCTTTTCTTAAATGGCAGAGAAGGACATCTCTAAAATGGGTTAAAGCTGCAGCTAGAGCAAAAAAGAAAGTCTGGAAGAAGCTAAAAGTTCCATTATCACATCATACGTGGATCGAAGATATTACTAACGGTGAACAGCCATCCACATGTTGTGTTTGCTTGACTTCTTTAGTGTTTCTTCAATACCTAGGTACAAAAGCCTCATCGCGTACTCCTGTCCATCGTTGCTCTGTTTGTGGTGTAGCATCTCATTTCTATTGTTCCCAGTATGCAGTAAAGGATTGCAAGTGTATGGCACAAGCTGGTTTTACCTATGTTCGACACCACTGGTCAGAAAGATGGGTTAATATGCATGATAATCCTGAGATATCGGCCATTTGTTTTTATTGTGATGAGCCATGTGGTGTTCCTTTCCTCGATGCTTCTCCTACATGGCATTGCCTATGGTGTCAGCGCCTCATACATGTCAGATGTCACAACAAAATGGCAAAAGAATATGGCGATGCTTGCGATTTGGGTAGTCTTCGGAGGATTATCATTTCCCCTCTGTGTGTGAAAGAAGTTGGCCAATATAATGGACGTGGAATGCTAAGTTCATTCACAGATGAAATAATAACCTCATCTGTTTGTGGCCAGTATAGAAGAAAGCGCCACCACTGTAAGCATGGTAGTCAGGCAACTAATGGTACCTCTGCCACTGATGCATCTCCGGATTATCTGTTCAATGGATTTACTGGTATAAAGAGATCCCGTAGTGAGAAGAGTTTTGACTACATAAAGAAGAATGATAGGACACTGAGTTTGAAGGGCAACCATAATGGGTTTTTTCAGAATAAGGGGGACACTGTCTCCTATGGTCAAATTAAGAGATATAAAGTAGTTGATTTGCCACATGATGCAAGACCTCTTTTGGTCTTTATCAATTCCAGAAGTGGAGGTCAACGTGGGGCTTCTCTAAGGAGAAGGCTGAACATGCTGTTGAATCCTGTACAGGTAATGTTGTGCCTTTTTAGCATCATTCACTGTGATGGATTATAACTTTACATTGTTTTAGACGGGCAACAAAATGTGATCTTTGACGTCTAATGTTCCCTTGCTGTGTTGTAGCTCTTAATTTGTGCTAGATAACTTACAGTCTGCTGTAATTCATATACATATTTTTGTTTTCTGAATGAAACTTGATACTTAGTGACCTTAAGAAAATTCATTATGTCTGCCTTTGTTTCCCTTCCTTTTTCAAATTATATATGATGCCATGGTTGCATCATGGTTTTCTGGGCACAAGGTTGCCCAAACGTAGTAGCTGTGGGTTTTGTGGTACAGTTAAGGGAACATTGAGTGTAGTTGTTCACATGCTTCGTATGCGTTCATTTGAATGTATGTAGTTGGTTTGATATTTGGGGCTATAATTTGCATTGTCATTATTATCACTTGTGTAACTTCTATTGCTTGTCCAGAAATATAAGCATATAGATACAGCATTGCATCTTTCTCCTAGGAGAATTGTGATTGGGTTTACCCTCGACCACCTTCTCTCTTCCTTTGTCATTATTTTCCCTCATACGATGAAACAAATAAGAAATGATATTAATAGCTTGATGTGAGGCTTAGAATAGTCATAAGGAGGAAAATGCAGAACAATAAAATTTCTCTTGTTGCTCAGTCTGAGTTGCATTCAAAGTTTTTGTACTTTTCCCATGCTGGATTCGGGTTAATTTTTTTTTAAATTCAGTTGTTTGGATCTTCTATTTTGAGAGCATAATATTAGTAGTATGTATTCCATTATTAAATTGCCTATTTTTGTTAATTCAGTGATTGATATGTGTGTTATAATTTTTTTTTTTTTTCTCATTTTTCATATCATGGTTTTTAGGAGTAACTAGCCAAGCTATATTTCTAAATTGCAGGTTTTTGAACTGAGTTCTTCCCAAGGGCCTGAGGCAGGTTTGGAATTGTTCAATGATGTGCAATATTTTAGAGTTTTGGTATGTGGTGGAGATGGTACTGTTGCATGGGTTCTTGATGCGATCGAGAGGCATAATTTTGAATCACCCCCACCTGTTGCTATTCTTCCCCTAGGTACGGGAAATGATTTGTCAAGGGTGTTGCAATGGGGAAAAGGCTTCTCTATGGTTGATGGACAAGGTGGCTTAACCGCGCTGTTGCATGACATTAACCATGCTGCAGTTACCATGCTAGATCGCTGGAAGGTAAACATCAAATCAGAAGCTGATCCGAATAAAGTTCAGTCCAAGTATATGATGAACTATTTAGGTATTTCTCTACATTTACTATTACCTAGTTATGGTTGTGGGATCTGTTTGACATTTTCTCATTTCTTTGAAAGGTATTGGATGTGATGCGAAGGTTGCATATGAATTTCATGTGACCCGAGAAATAAATCCTGAGAAGTTCAGTAGTCAGGTACCTTCGTATTTGGTGCGATGCTTTCATTATCACATTATTTATGCTTTCCTAAGCAACAAAATTTTAGAGAGATTTGTCATCGTTCATTTCCATGATTTGGCTTCACTGATAGTTGCTTTTATGAACAGTTTGTAAATAAATTACGATATGCCAAAGAAGGGGCCAGAGATATAATGGACCGAACCTGTGCTGACCTACCATGGCAAGTTTGGCTTGAAGTTGATGGGAAAGACATAGATATTCCAAAGGTTTACATTTATGAAATTTTTGTTATTATGTTTCAAGCTGTTTTCATTCCTTTTGAAGTGACTTCTTTTTCATATTTTTCTCTTCTTTTCCCAGGATTCTGAGGGTCTAATTGTGCTCAACATTGGCAGCTACATGGGTGGAGTAAATCTTTGGCAAAACGATATTGAGCATGATGATGAATTCAGTCTTCAGTTGATGCATGATAAAATGCTTGAAGTTGTATGTGTATGTGGAGCTTGGCACCTTGGAAAACTTCAGGTTTGTATAGTATGTCTATTTTTTGTTTTTCATTCATAATGTCTCCTCTCCCGATGTGGAATTTATATTCTCAACACGTACACCCTCCATTGCAGAATAATATAAGCCTAAACTATCAAAAGCACAAGTATATTTACATAATTCTTTCTTTGAGATGTCACTGTATATTTACATCGGAAATTCTATTCTTACTATCTATTGTACCACAATTTTATACAACCTTAGGTGGCAGCTGATGTGGACAGCCACATCATTTGAAATAATCTGAATTTCTATTTAATTAAAACAATTAAAAAAACCAGCGGAGAAAAAAGAGAGGAAACCAAAAACTTGCATGGTGTAAACTGGGTTTCAAGTAAGAAAGTAAAAAATCTACCAGCCCAATTCTCAGGAGTGTCCGCAGTTGATCCTTTACCTGCTCCCTTTTCGTTACAAGGTGTTCTTCTTCCGCCAAAAGTGGCGCCGGGGGGAGGGGAGGGGGGACTTCGGCTCAGGCTTTGGGCTAGAGGTCATGTTTCTTTTTTGAACAAGTAGAATATCCTAGTGGATTATGAATGGAAGAAGCTAATGTTTGTTGTTTTGTTGTACAGGTTGGACTTTCACAAGCTAGAAGACTAGCCCAAGGGAAAGTCATAAGAATACATGCCTCCAGTCCTTTCCCAGTCCAAATAGATGGAGAACCATATATACAACAACCTGGCTGCTTGGAGATTACACATCACGGACAGGTACAATTTGAAGCTCCCTGTGATGATGTCTTGTGGTGCACACAAATATGCCTCATCATGTAGGATTGGTTAGAGATGTATGCTATGCGTTACTATGTTTGGAACATCTATCACACATTCGGGCAAGAGTCGAACATGATCAATGGGCCGTAACCATATTCTACCAACATGAGGTGGTTCGCCAAAATTTTAGCAGATTTTGGTGTGGTGATAATGTTATTCGTGTTATTCTCAGCCAACCATAGCCAGGGAATGATACCAAACCCCAACCCCGAATGTTTGGTTATGCACACAACCAAACCCTAATGGAAACTAAAGAATGCTTTTTTGTTTGGTGGTTGTGGTCTGAACTTAGGGGGTTTGTTTGACACTGGTGTATGAAAGATAGATTGATTCCAGAACCCTTAAATCGCTAGAAACACTGAAACTCAACAGATACACACCCATATCTGTCCTTTTTATTTTCTTTATAATTAGACGGACATTGAACTCGTTGTCTCCTTCTGTGTCATTCTATTTTCAGATGTTCATGTTGAGGAGAGCTTCAGAAGAGCCCAGAGGGCATGCGGCTGCAATTATGACCGACGTTTTACTAGATGCCGAGTGCAAAGGCATCATCAATGCATCCCAGAAGAAAATACTTCTCCAGCAGATGGCCCTCACGCTCACTTAATTTACTCCGCTTCTCTTCGCCGGTCTTCTAATTTTGTTAACAATTCTTTTGTCCTCATCGGTTTCCATACCTGTATTTTGGGCTGATTCAGTGGCCTACATATTTTTGGAATTGCCTCTTTTGTAGAAACAGATTTTTTGCAAACCCAGAGAGAGAGATTTGTTTGTAACGTTGTGATATGAGAATAACTGACACTTGGTTGAAACTCCATTTATTTGCATTTCTATGATGCCTTTTGTTTTATAATTGAAGTAATTGCAATAGTAACGGAAGATCAGTTGGTAGATATCCTCACAAAGATTGTTTAAAGTTATAACTTTTCAAGTTTCTTACACGATTTGGGCATGTGCCATACATACACCAACTTGAGGGATAATATTGACTTTTGAGTATATTCATATAATCTTGGGATTCTCAGTTTAGTATGATTTCATGTAAATTAGCTCTCCTTATTGATAGGATTGCAACATCTTGTGAATTAGCTCTCTCTTTGTAGATGAATAGAGGCACAATACTATTACAAAAGAGTTTTCTCTTCTAAAAACACCAATCAATGAGGGCGGCACACGATGTAGAGTATTATGCAAATATATAAAAAAATACACTTGTGAGGAGTGCAAAACGAAAATTTTGAAATGCCAATAATAGACAATCAATCAGTCACAAATTTTTAATTTGAAGACCAAAGCTCCAAAAACAACAATAACAACAACTAAGCCGTATCTCTCTAAATGAGGTCGGTTGTATGAATCGTAGAACTTCACAATGTTTGAATTTGCGTCAAGTCTTCCGTTAGCTCTTAGGTACTCCACATCTTTTATAAAAGTTATTTTCCAAGTCTTTCTAGGTCTTCCTCTACCCCTTTTGCTCTAAGTCTCCCTCTCATAGTCGCATATTCTAACCAGAGTATATGTAGGTCTTCAATTCATGTGTCCAAACCACCTTAATCGATTTTCTTTCATCATATCTTCAATTGCGGCCACTCCTACATTACATCGGATATCCTCGTTCTTAATCACATCCTTTCTCGTTTGCCCACACATCCAACGAAGCATTCTTGTCTCTGCTACATTCATTTTTTGCACGCGTTGATTTTTGACCACCTAGCATTACATGTCATAAAACATTGTTGGTCTTATTGTTGTCCTATAAAAAAGATTCTTAAGCTTTAGGTGATAATGATTGTACAACATACCTGATGCACTATTCAATCTCTATGGTTGAGATCTTTATTTGATTCTCTGTACTTTTGCAAGATAAATTTAAGAGAATGAAAGCAGCGTTTACTCTTTAGTACTACTTAATCTACTATGCTCACTCCCATCTCATTTGGACCCCCATTCCCACTGAACTTGCACTCCGTCTACTCTGTCTCTAGCATACTTAAGACCTTTAAGGGGTGTTTGTTTGACTGGATTAGAGGGGATTGGACTGGACTAGACTAGACTAATTGCTAGTGTAGTCTCATGTTTGGTGTGCACAAGGATTAGGTTTAATGAGATTAGATAGGACTCGCTGGGATTAAAGACTTCGTTAAGGGTTCTTGGCCAAGAACCCCAATTTTGGCCGAACTCGTAAGACCACCAGCAAGAGAGAACCTCGCTCTTCCTGCGAGAGAGAGTCGTCTCCATCGCTCCTTGCGTTCCCTGCTGTTTCCTTGCCCTGCTTCCTCATCCTCGTCCTTATCACCCTTATCTCTACGTCCTACTTGCCCTCATCAGCATCCTGGTCGCCTTCCACCTAAATCGCCCATCCTCCTCCCTTGTTTGATCCCAGTCGAAGTAACCCTCTCTCTGTCTCTCACTCTCTCTGGTTCTTTTGAATTTTTTCCATATGTTTTTTTATGTTTTATTTATTTATGGAATCTGGGTTTATTGAAAAGTGCTGAATTTCAGAATTTAAGTTGAGTTTTTGCAGGTTTTATAATGCGATTTAGTTAAGGTTTATGTGTTAGAGTTTGTCAATCTGTTAAATTTTATGGACTGATTGGATTCTACCCGTTGCGTTGACTGTTTGATGGGTTTCAAGCAGATTGCTATGTGTGTGTGTGTGTGTAGTGTGCAATGTGCTCCAGGGCTCCAGGGACAATGACATGGAGAAAGAGTCCCTGCTTGTAATTTCTGAAGGAGAAGAAGAAGAAGAAAAAGTCCCTGTTTGGACCCAACTTGAGTTGTCTGTGCTAATTTGGTGTCAGATTTATGAATTGCATGTTGAAAATTTTATTATCCTAAACGCATCACTAAGTTAATCCAGCTTAGTCTAGTATAAGCCAGTCCAGCTTAGTTCCTGCAGCTAGTTCAGTTCAAGATAGTCTGGTGCAACAAACGAACCCTTAGATTCTAACACTTCCCGCCAAAGATTAAGCTTCACATTTACTCCCTCTTGCGTTTCATTTATAGGCATTATATCATATGCAAAAAGCATACACTAAGGGATGTCATTTTGAATAGTCCCGTTAACTCGTGTATTACTAATAGAGAAAGGTAAGCACTTAAAGTTAAGCCTAATTGTGTAACCATATAGTTATGGGAAAGCTTTCAATTTGTTCCTCATGAAAAAGAAAAAAAAAGTTATAGAAAAGCTTTCAGTTTGTCCCTCATGAGTTCTTGCTACATTCCTTACTCCTTCATACATATTCTTTATTGCTTGGGTATATGCGTACTCTTACTAATTTTTTTCTAAAATCCTCAAATGAATTTCTTATACATATTCTTTATTACTTGAATATATTATTCGTACTCATTTTTTTTTAGAATCCTTCAATAAATTTCTCGAGACCCCATTATACGTTTCTTTTGAAGAGTACTATGTGTAAATCCCTAATTAAACTAAAATTCAACCACCAACCCTCTTGAATAATAAAAGGGAAATTTTATTTGAACCTATGTAACCTCTTTCTACACCTAACTTATTCTCTACACCCATATTATTTGCAATTAAAGAATTAACATCTCTTCAAACCCAAATTTATTAACTAAACTATCCTTCCAAACCCAATTCAAAGTGTAAAATTATCTTTACACCCATTTATAAAATAAAATCTCAAATAAAATTGGATCTAACAGAAAAAAAAAACCCTTATAGCTAACTAGCTTGAATTTGGGTACATATAAAAATGTTCTATCTATTATTGGCTTATTGAAAGTTAATAATTTGAAAAAATGATCAGTTTTTCACTTGAACTGTTCCAAAATTTTCTTGAAAGTTCCCTTCTCCACAATTCGAAGCTCAAGAGGCCAGATCGAATCGCTTCTCCTCGAGACCACTAGCCATGATCCAAAAATGTTGCATCCATTTCTCTACAACATTCACTGAGAACTCTCTCTCTTCAACTTATCCTTTGGATCTCCTAGTATATTATGTAGTGACCTGGTTTTGGGAAATCAAATTTGCATGGCTTGTGAAATCGATTAGCTCGGCTTTTGACTTGCTCAATAGTTCAGATCCTTTATGGACCACCATTTGAAGGTTCTTTTAAGTGTTTTTGTCTATGTTTACTATCAGTATTGATAGTGTTTTGTAAAAATGGTGATAGAGTTTGATTATTAGGAGTGAGTTTATTGATAAATTTTAGTTTTAATTTTAATTTCATCTTGTACTTGATGGTAATTATGCAACAGGTAAAAAAGATAAATTTAATTTATAATTTAAGTTGGACGTTAAAAAATGTTATGCGGGTTAGGGTTTAGGGTTCAAATAAAATTTTTCATAATAAAATGGGTACGACAATGGCATATAGCCCGGTTGAGAAATGACAATTGACAGGGCGGGATTCGGGAAGAAGGGGCTGAGGACTTGCAGCTGAGAAAGCACGCCATCGTTCTTTGTTTCACATTCGAGAGAGACAATTCCCACAAATCAGATGCATCTCGTCTCGTCAAAGCATCAAACCGCACACTAGGAGTAGCGTAGCAATTCCATCAACAATTCCCAATTCCCAATTCTTCTTGTTCCGAGTCGAATAAAAAAGAAAGAAATTTCGAGGTTTTGGGTTTCGATTTAGGTAATTGGGAATTCTTGTATGTAGAATGAGTGTCGCTCCGGCTCCGGCTCCGGCTCCGGCTCCGGCTCCCTCTTCCACTCGCAATCCCACCAATTTGGCATTTTTGCCTTGCGCCTACTACTCCTTCCACTCCGTGCTACTCCTCTGAATTCATAGCTCCAAATTATCACCCTCCCCCTCCAAAAAAAAAAAAAAAAAAAAAAAATTTACCAAGCCAATGTACTCGAGCAATTTGAAGGGCTTCATCTTGGCCGTCGTCTCGAGCGCCTTCATTGGCTCCAGCTTCATCATCAAGAAGAAGGGTCTCATCCGGGCCAGCGTCAACGGCCCTGCTGCCAGTATGTTCTTTCAATTTATTTATGTTTCTCAAGGCATTTTCTTTTTTATATTTATGATGATTTGACTGTGTCTGATTGTTAATTTTCCTTGTTTTTTCGCTTTCGTTGCTAATGTATAAAAGGTGTGGGAGGATATGGGTATCTGAAGGAGTCTCTATGGTGGATAGGAATGGTAACAAGTAAGTTTTCCTTGCTCCTTGTTCAGTTGTTCTGCTTAATTTAATTAATTATAAGGCTCTGTTATGATGATTTGAAGAAATTCAAGATTTTTATGACCTGGGATATGCAATGCTATTCGAAATTTCATTTAGATTGCGGTTAAGTTTTATTCCCACTATTTCATTTCAGTTGGAAAATTTGACCCTTTCTTTTATTCAATTCATTTCTCCGCTGCTAGACGGGGTTGGATGTTGAATATTGCATGTTGATGATCATCGTAATTTTGGACAATTGACAGTGGTTATTGGAGAGATGGCCAATTTGGTAGCATACGTTTACGCACCTGCTGTCCTTGTAACACCACTAGGTGCATTGAGTATTATTGTTAGGTACATTCCGTTTCCCAATTCTATTGCATATCTGATTGTACCTATGTTTTTGTACGTTTCAATCGTCAAACCATATTTCTGACAATTTCAACCGTGGATGAATATGCGTAGTGCTGTTTTAGCGCATTTTTTGTTAAAGGAGAAACTCCAGAAAATGGGAATGTTGGGGTGTCTTTTATGTATAGTGGGTTCAACTGAGATTGTACTCCATTCACCTGAAGAGCAATCTCTCAGTTCGGTCCAAGAAATCTGGGAATTAGCAATACAACCTGGTATGCTCCTAAAAGGTTACTAACTAATGGCTGCTTATTTCTTCTCCTTCTTCTTCTCTTCTAATTGTTCGCTTTCTTGCCTTCAGCATTTCTTTTGTATACAGCCTCGGTGGTAGCTGTGACATTAGTACTGATGTTGTACTGTGCTCCCCGCCATGGCCAAACCAATATACTGATTTATATAGGAATCTGCTCTATAATAGGATCATTAACAGTGAGTTATTCTAGCATTCTTGCCAAATTTTAGTTAAGATATAACGATTTCATCAATTTTTGGTTTCTTCACCATGCACAAAAAATTACATTACTTCACTTTTAAAGTAACATTGGCTTGCCCATTTGATTAATTATCCCTATTGCAGGTTATGAGTGTAAAAGCAATTGGGATTGCAATAAAACTCACATTTGAGGGTACAAACCAGCTAAAATACTTCCAAACATGGATTTTTGGAATGGTTGCAGTTACCTGTATCATCACTCAATTAAATTATCTAAACATGGTCCGTATCTTGTTATGCTCTATTACATTGCATCATGGCAGCTCTGTGTCCTTGTCATTTCTATTTTTGGAATGGTTGCAGTTACCTATATCATCACTCAATAAAACTCACATTAGAGGGCACAAACCACCTAATATACTTCCAAACATGGATTTTTGGAATGGTTCCAGTTACCTGTATCATCACTCAATTGAATTATCTAAACATGGTCCTGTCTTGGTATGCTCTATTACATTGCATCATGGCAGCTTTGTGTCCTTTTCATTTCTGTTTCTTTTTTTTTTGTTTTTTTTAATGATTATGTGTGTGTATCTATGTATATGTGTTTCTTTTATCATGAAGGGTTGAGCCCAAAATTTGTGAGGTAAATCGTGGGCTATAAGGTTTGTTGTGGACCTGGGGGTGGGGTGGGGTAGGCAGAGCTTGTGGCTTAGGGTTTAGAACTTGGGTTTTGGGTTGAGCCTAAAATTTGTGAGCTAAACCCTGGGCTATAAGGATTAACCAATGCTATTATTACTTTTTAATTGGGGTTTTTTGTGTGAAAAAAGTAGGCCATTGTGATTGCTTCTAAATGTGGTTGCATGCTTGTAATTTGTTAGTCTTTGTGCGGACTATTTATCATGTTTAGGCCCTTAATCAATGGGTTTTTAAATTTTTACTAAACCTTGGGATGCAAACTGTTTATTTATAGATTGTTGAAGGATGAGGGTTTTGGATCTTAAGCTACCATTGTACATGAACTAGAATAACGGAAGATCACCCTGAGGTTTAATGCATTTAAAATAAACTTGCACCTTCATAAGTCAAAGTACGACTGCTTGATGCTTGAATTTTATAACACAAACATCCCCTGTTAACATACTGTTAGCTAACCAACGTCAGTTACAGAATATTTGCAAAAGACACATATGTTTTGTGTGGAAGGAAGAAGAGGGAAGTCTTGGGGAGAGGTGTGCTGTGGTAGCTGTGTTTTGGGTAGTTTGATTGGAAAGAATTAGGAGGATATTTGATAATTAAGGGGAGAGGATGAGATGATGTGGGATACATTTTGTTTTTGAACAGCCCTTTGGACAAATTGGAGAGTTCTTTTAAGAGGGGGAGGTTATGTTATTGTTGTGTGATTTCACCAGAAGACTGCTAGAATTTTGGCTCTGTGTACAGTGCACATCTCGTTCTTTGCATTGAACTTTTACATATGAATTCAATAAAATCTTTGTTTCACATTCTCATAAAAGAAAAGTAGTCTGAGCAGAAATTATCTGTATCAGATTGGTAATAAATGAAATCTGTCCCCCCTCCAACTGAACATGAACTTCATCTAATATTTTCTTTTTGTGTAAGCATGTGAATGCATTAAGTGCTGCATTCATCACCTGTATAAACCACTTGCATATCTTTTCTGTTTTGGTCATAAATGTGTAACTTTTTAGCTGGTTTTCACTCTCTTGTGGTTGCAGGCGTTGGATACTTTCAACACAGCAATTGTTTCTCCGATCTATTATGCTATGTTCACATCTTTTACAATGCTTGCCAGTGCAATAATGTTTAAGGTATCATCACGTCAACATGGTGTGTTTTTGTATTTGTGTTTGTGTGTGAGCAAGAGAGAGAGAGAGACTAACCATTATGTTATAAATCTAAAATGTATACCCTTTTGGTAGGATTATTCGGGTCAAAGTGTGAGCAGCATAGCATCAGAACTTTGTGGTTTCATCACTGTGTTATCTGGGACTGTTATATTGCATAGTACAAGAGAGCCAGATCCACCTTTAATTACAGGTTTGTATCTTGTGTATCCGATTGCATGTCTATTCGGAGATTCTTAAGTGTTAACTAGGCACTGACCTGTAATTTGAAGCTTAGTGCAGTACTGCTATTGTTTAACGTATGATGCAGAGCCTTATCCTATTAGTTGACAATTACCTCCGAAAATTTTCCCCTTTATTTTCTGTCTGAGTTTAAATGTTGAAATCTGGAACCAAATAGTGTAAGATCTATTGAAGTGTTCAACCTAAAAGCTTTAGCTGTTAAGCTGAGAGACCAAATAGGTATGTATAGCTTTGTTAAATGCTTATCCCAACCAATATGGGACTCGTACTCAATAAGATCCATACTCAGGGTCAGGATTCGTTTTCCCCAGTGTTTCAGAGTTGAGAGACTTATGTTTGCAGGACTATACCACCAGTCCATAGGGTTATTGGCATCCTGTGGGGTAGTTTCCTTAGATTTTAAGGAATGGCCCTTCCATGGTTTGGTATTGCTGTGCTTTGAAAAAAAGCTGCTGTGAGAATAAGCGGCTGTGCTGTGAGAATAAGCGGCTGTGAAATAAATCAGCAGAGTGTTTGGTAAACTTTTTTGTAAAAGTGCTTTTGGAAAAAAAAAAGTCTGATGGTTGGTTTTTTCATTAAAGGAGCACTGTAGCTCCGTGTGCTTTGAAAAAAAGCCAGTTTTCCAAAGCTGCAAATAGCAGCTTCAACTTTTTCCTTTGATTTCAGCTTATTCTCACAGCAGCTTCCAAAATAAGCCTTTTTTTTTTTCAGTTTACCAAACACCTAAAACCCTCACAGCTTTTTTTCATGGGTGCTTTTTTTTTTAGCACCTCACTCCCAAACCAGGGCTTCCTCTAATTGGGATGCTGTTGTTATTCAGTTTTGTTCTTATGGTGTTTTAGACTTTTAGTTGGCTTCTATTCCGTTGTTTCTTTAGGTAGGTAAATGTTCATGGTATTCCTTGTCACCTGTGTGCACATTCTTTCTCTTTTTGTTAATTTTGTTTCTTATCAAAAAATATTTATTGGGTTATTGACTCAATAATAGAGGTCTTAATATATACGGTTTGTTAACCATTATTTATGAGATGGTAGTATATAACCAGCAGGGTCTAGTAGCTCAAATGGGAAGGCCAAAGTGTAGTGGTTTACCAGAGTAATATGTTGAAATCCATCAGGGCATCAATGCACGCAAACCATACTTGAGAACAACAACGATTTTGATTGTGATGGTGAAATGGTTAGGATTGTCATGCACATCTTTAAAGTAAAATGTGCAGTGTTGCACCATCATGCAAGAATATGAGTCCTGGATGAATTCTTTGCATTTGAGTTGAAATTTTGCAGGCTTCAATTCCATATGCAGTAGTCTGCATTTTGTAAAACAATGTTTACATTTCTCTTGAAACTTGCAGATTTGTACACACCATTATCTCCGAAAGTATCATGGTACATACAAAGCAACGGGGAATGGAAGCAGAAGGATGAGGATGGCTCAACCCCTAATTTCCTCACAGTTCTTCGGCAAGACTACTTCAAGTAATGGAATAAGCTTCCGACATTGAGTTCTTGGTTGCATCTCATGACTTGAGTGTGAAATGGTCACCTCAATTCATCACTTTTTTTTCCAGCTTGAAAACCGTAGGTATGCTGGGATTGTAAAAATGCTCTGGCATGACTCTAAAGTAAAATCAAGTAGATATGTTTTGCCAATATTTTTTCGGCTTTCTATTCAAATTTTGAGCAGTGTGTTGTGCAGTTGTCAATAGCCATAGTTTTAGGAGCGACTTCTTCATTCATTCGTTCTCTCACTGCACGAGATTTTAGTTTCAGTCCTTGTAGAGAGCCAGACAGATCCATCTCCAGTTTATAGCTTGTAATTTGATTTTATTGGCCGATGTAGCGGCTTGATGGTTGAAGTAGCAGCTTGATATTCCTTCTAAATGATCATTTTACAACCATGAGACCAATGCAAAAGCTGCATTAAATGTTTGTATCAGCTTTAACCTTGTGTTTAATACTAGTTGAGGATATTATTCTGTAGACAACGTCGGAAAATTTGTAAGAATAGCCAAAATACTATTCTTGTATAGAAATTTTAGCCAACATATGAATGATCATTTGAGCCAAAAGTTGATATGGAAGCCACAGTTCTTTTCTATATTTTCCCTTCTACACTTGTCTAAGCTCTCTTCCTTAATCCAACGGCCATGGAGACACGTCTACAGACGTTTTTCTCTTAAGTCTTCTAGACCGAAAGAAACACTAGGAATAAATCACACATTGGTAAAGTTGGACCTCGTCAGATTTTAGAACCACCATTAGTACTTTAGTTACAATTATCATAAATTAAAAAAGTTTGGATAAAATTTGTGTTTAATAAAAAAGGCTAAAATTCCAAATAGATCCACCTACACTTAAGGACTTAGACGGACCAGCTAAAATCATCACTGTGATGTCCCGGTCCAATAACACAATGTCATTTGAAGTGAGAATTACACGTCTTGGGTTCGATTCTTGGAATGGTCAGCGGAATGCTGAAATGCCTTTATGAGTCTTTCCGGCCCTCAGAAAAGTGAATTGCCGTGGTGAAGCCATCAGCCTGTCCCCCAAGTTAGAAAGAACCCCCACACGCCAACAGCTAGGTTCTCCGATCGTAAACCCTACTCTCAACGTATCTATTAAATGATAATTCTTTCCCCACCAACACCGGGTCTCTCCCACCTCTTGACCAATCAATTTTCAATTCCTGAAACCCGAATTGTTCCCATTTTGTGTTATTATGCAATAAAGGGTTTCTATTTGAATTTCGTATGTTCTTTGTGATATTTGTATTAAAAAAAACTTTGCAGAGAACAATCGCAGTAGGAGGGAGTTTTGCCATGGCATAAAACAAATACACAAGTAAATTTCAAGATTATACTACACTTGTGTATTTGTAAGATTAGAGGGTGATTTGCTGGAATAAAATCACCATTCTTGTTAGACGTGTTTAGTAGGGGGATGTTGTGCGTATGATTCGAACTCTTACATTGTGAGGTGAAGTTGGATGCATCCATAGATATAAAAAGTTATAGTATATCATGTCCCCCAGTTTTGTGACAAACTTTCTTTAATGTCACTTAAGGTCTAGTGGTATTATTCTTCACTTGTAAGTGAGAGGTCTTAGGTTTGATTCTCGCCAAAGGTGAATTTGAACCACATTATTGCTAGCCCATTGTGAGGTTAAACACACCTCTTTCCCCTTAGTGTAGATAATATCATTTGTTCAAAAAAAAAAAAAGAACTTTCTTTAATCACAAGGACAAGAAATAGCGGCAGTATTGTAAATACATTAAAGTTTGGTGGCACCGAAAACTATTTCTTCATAAAATTTTTATTATGAAGAAACTTTAACCTAATAACTATACTATCATTGTGCCCCAAAACTTCAACTTAATAATTTGTTACGTTCCATTATTTTTTTACTTATTATTATTGGAAGTGATGTACTGGACGTGATGGAAGTGAGTGATGTACTTGACGTGATGAAAGTAATGTAACGCCACTTTTCCTTTATTCCTTAATTTGCTCTTTAATTCATGGTCTTATGTCTCCCTTGAAACTTGTAATTATACATTTGCTGCACGTTAGCTAGCTTATACTTTTTGGTTCTTTATATGGCCTATTATTAGGCTTTGTCTTTTTAGCCTTTAAGTCACTCTTAAGCTCTCTATAAGAGCTTCTCCCTTGTACTTGGTTTCTTATGATGAATTATACAAATAGTTGAAACTAAAAAGTTCAATATGGTATCAGAGCAGGAACCATAGGGTCCTGTCTCTGTTGTTTTTCTTTTGTTTCATTTTTCCTTATGTTCATCATTTGTTGAGATGGCAGAAGACAATCCATTCGGTTCTAAGGATACAAGTTCCTCAACCTTAACACCAACCAACATGATACACGTGAGATCAACCAAACCAACGACTGTGCTCAGTATTGTTGAACGAGTTCAATTATTTGCCTTGGTCACGAGCCGTCTCTCTTGCCCTAGGAGGAAGATCGAAGCTAGGGTACGTAAATGGAACCATTAAGTCTCCAGAATCCACCTCACTCTCTTTTGGTGCATGGCATTCAAATGATCAGCTCGTAATGTCTTGGATTCTCAACTCGATGGCGCCCAAGTTGTCGGAGTTCTTCAGCTATTCAGGATCTTCATACCTACTATGGGAATCTGTCAAGGAAATGTATAGAAGCCAAAACAATGCTACCCGTGTATTTGAACTGAAGAAGAGTCTTGCTGGCCTAAAGCAAGGTGACCAATCCTTCGTTCAGCACCTTGGAAGCATGAAATCTATGTGGAATGAGCTTGATCTAAACCGTCCACACACAACCGAATCCGTTGTGCTCTTGAAGAGGGCTGATGAAGATAAAGTATTTCAACTATTGGCAAGCTTGGGAGTTGAGTATGAAGATCTTCGTAGTCATTTGCTAATGACTCCAGAATTACCATCATTCATTAGCGTGTGTCATGCAGTTCAAAGGAAGAAACTCGAAGAAATGTAATGCATATTGAGCCAAAGTCTAGCTCTGAGGCTAGGGCTCTCACTAGCAACCACAAAATCTGTGGTGAAAGAGTTTTTAATGGGAAGAAGGCTGACTGGAAGTGCACATATTGCAACACTAAGGGGCACCTACGGGAAAAATGTTGGATCTTACATCCTGAGTTAAAACCTAAGTTTGACAGGGAAGGGAAAATGATCAAAGATGGGAAAGGGTTTGCTTCAAAAACCCTCCGTGCAACTAAGTGTTCAGCTGATGAGATGGCAAACTTCACTTCAAATCTGATTTCCTTGATTAATGAATTTGCTACCTTTCTCCAAAGAAAGAATGGGACCACTAAGAATGAAAAGATGATCACTGAAAACTCCACTACCACGCTTGGAAAATTCGCTGGCTTCTTGGAAGGTTCAGATACCACAACACACGACAATATCCCAGGTATTATTAGTGCACTCTTCATTGTTCTCAATGCACATCTCACACATGATTTTTGGATTGTAGACTTAGGTGCCACTGATCATATAACTAATAAAACATCTTGTCTTCATGAGTTTAAAAAATTATCTAATCCTACTCATGTATCTGTAGCAAATGGTAAAGGGGAACCTGTTCTAGGAAAAGGAAAAATTAGGTTGATGGGTAATGATGTAGAGTCCACTGCACTTTACGTACCTTCATTTCCATTCCAACTTTTGTCCATAGGAAAAATCACGCACACTTTGGACTGCCTTGCCATATTTTCTAATCATAACGTTGTGTTTCAGGATCGAGTCACTCAGAAGAAGATTGGTGAAGGGTTATTCTTAAATGGTCTATACTACCTCTCAAAGAAGTTCAATCTTGTTAAGGATCCCATTGCCAACCTAAGTCATGCCCAGGAGTACCAACTTTGGCACCAACGTCTTGCTCATCCCTCAGAAACAGTGATGTCTAAGTTATTTCCAAATTTTTGTAAAAGCACACATGAGTGCGAGATCTGTCAAATGTCAAAATCCACTAAGCTGCCTTTTGTATCCTCTCAGTCTAGAACTAGTAAGCTTTTTGAAGTTGTTCACTCAGATATTTGAGGACCTTCTCATGTTGAGTCATTCGATGGATACAAGTATTATGTCACTTTTATTGATGATTATTCTAGGGTTACCTGGTTGTATCTTTTAAAGTTTAAAGGTGATTTTTTTGAAGCTTTCAAAAACTTTAACAAACTAATAACCAATCAATTCGCCTTTAAATTATATACTTTAAGGTCAGATAATGGCACCGAGTATACATCCAATAACATGTCCAATTACTTGAGCAATCATGGCATCTTGCATCAAACTAGTTGTGTTGGTACACCACAACAAAACGGTGTAGCCGAGCAAAAGAATAGGGATTTGTTGGAGAAAACAAGGTCCCTTATGTTTCAGATGCAAGTTCCCAAGAGATTCTGGTCCTAAGTACTTCTCACTGCAACCTACATCATTAACAGACTTCCAACTCGTGTGTTGAATGCTAAGTCACCTTTTGAAGTCATGAAAGGAAAAACTGTCGATTTGACTCATCTCATGATCTTTGGATGTACTTGTTATGTCCACATCCAAGCTACTCATCGTGATAAACTAGAACCTAGAGCTATGAAATGTGCATTTATGGGGTACTCTAGTTCTCAAAAGGGATACAAATGTTATAACTCACACACTGGGAAGCTTGTTGTCTCTAGAGATATTCGGTTTGATGAAGTCACTCATTTCTTTCACAAGGATTCTGAGAATAATCCTCAGGGGGAGAGTCTAATGGACACCTTTCCACTGCCTACTCTTGGAGAAATTCATGCAAACCCCCCAAACCCTATCATTAATACCAACATTGATGAAGTGGTCAGTGAGGAAGTACCCAGTGCTCCAGCACCACAACCACAAGCTGCAACTCCACAATCAGTAGTAGCACCAAGAAGGAACCCTGCTCGAGATTGACATCCCCCGTTAAGGTTACAAGAGTACGTTACGTACTCTGCAAGGTACCCTATCTCTGAAGCTATTACTTACCAAAAGTTGTCAGCCTCCCATGCATTATTTCTAAACCAATTGTCAAACAATCTTGAGCCAAGAAGTTTTCAAGAAGCCATGTGTACACCTGTGTGGCAAGAAGCCATGCATGAAGAGCTCAAGGCATTGGATGAAAATCAAACTTGGAGTGTGGTTGATCTTCCCAAAGGCCAGAAGGTTGTAGGGAGTAGATGGATATACAAGACAAAATTCAATTCTAATGGTACCATTGAGAGACACAAGGCTCGATTGGTAGCCCGTGGTTTCACACAAACTTACAATATTGATTACGAGGAGACTTTTGCCCTGGTTACCAAAATGAACACAGTGAGGGTGTTGCTATCAGTGGCAGTCAATCATGAGTGGCCCTTGTTTCAAATGGATGTAAAAAATTCTTTCCTCCATGGTGATCTTGAAGAAAATGTGTACATGAAGCTACCATCTGGACACCTACGAGAAGGTGAACCTAACAAAGTTTGCAAGCTCCATAAGGCTATATATGGACTCAAACAATCCCCTCGAGCTTGGTATTCCAAATTGAGCTCAGTTCTTAAAGTTGCAGGGTTTAAAAGAAGTCATGTTAACTCCTCCTTATTTGTTTGCAGTGGTGTCCTAGGGAAGCTGGTTATGCTTATATATGTTGATGATCTTATAATTACGGGGGACAATGTGAATGAAATCAATGCTCTTAAGTGCTCCCTACACCAACAATTTGCCATTAAAGATTTGGAAGTCTTGAAATACTTTCTTGGCATTGAGATGGCCACTTCTTCCAAGGGGTTATTCTTAAATCAAAGAAAGTATGTAGTTGATCTTCTTGATGAAGCACACATGCTTGAGTGTAAACCTACTCGCACTCCCTTTGTTAGCAAACTTCAGTTGGATGCCAAAGGTGAGCCACTCTCCAATCCTGGTTTTTATCAGCGCATGGTTGGAAAACTTATTTACCTCACGATTACTTAACCTGACATTGCTTACTCAGTGTGCCTTGTCAGCCAGTTTATGCAATCTCCTACATCGGTTCATTGGGAGATTGTCAAGAGAATACTTAGATATCTCAAAGGTTCGGTCGGTAGAGGCATACTCATGAAGAAAAATGGGTCCACTCACATCATGGCCTACACTGATACTGATTGGGCTGGTAATGCCCTTGATCGAAAGTCCACCACAGGTTTTTGTACTTTTGTTGGAGGTAATTTGGACACTTGGAAGAGTAAGAAACAAACCGTGGTTGCAAGATCCAGTGCTAAAGCTGAATATAGGGCCATGGCAGCAGCAGCTTGTGAACTTATATGGTTGAAGAGTCTTCTATTTGATCTTGGCTTCACCAGCAAGGAACCAATGTCGTTGTTTTGTGACAACCAGGCCACAATGCATATTGCTTCTAATCCGGTATTTCATGAAAGGACGAAGCACATTGAAGTTGATTGTCATTACATTCGTACACAAGTTCAATCCAATGTCATCAACACTGTATACACTAGAAGCCATGTTTAACTTGTTGATCTCTTCATGAAAGCTCTAGACTCTACCCAATTTCAACGGTTGTTGTGCAAGCTTGGATTAATTAACCCTCTTGATCCAGCTTGATGGGGGGGGGTATTGGAAGTGATGTACTGGACGTGATGGAAGTGATGTAACACCACTTTTCCTTTGTTCCTTAATTTGCTCCTTAATTCATGGTCTTATGTCTCCCTTGAAACTTGTAATTATACATTTGCTGCACGTTAGCTAGCTTATACTTTTTGGTTCTTTATATGGCCTATTATTAGGCTTTGTCTTTTTAGCCTTTAAGTCACTCTCAAGCTCTCTATAAGAGCTTCTCCCTTGTACTTGGTTTCTTATGTTGAATTATACAAATAGTTGAAACTAAAAAGTTCAATAATTATTAATAAAAGTTTATTGTCTGAAGTACTTTGCATTAAAAGTTAAAACTCCCTTTATGTTATATATATATGTACACTCGAATGTCGAAACCATCATCTTCGTATCACCAACTCAACGACTTTTAGGGTTTACAAAAGACTCGAGATAAAGCAATTTGATGCACTATATATTTTAGAAAATGCCGTGTCATACATGCATAGACTGCTGGGTAAGATGTTGATCAGTGGATTCATCCACAAGAGAAGCACCTCGATGCACAATGATAATCGACGCATTGGCAACAAATCTGGACGACACCAACGTATCTCCCAAAGGTCCTAGCTCTGGACAGTCACCCCACTCAGATAGCCCAAAAGTGATGAGTGGTGAGGAAACTCCTTGCCCTCTTCCCACAATATAAAGATCATAGTCACTTGCCATGTCGCTTAATAGTTGGAGAGTTTCCTCTCCATTGTTCACTACCTCCGTAATTAGTTTTATGTAAGGATGGTTCTTAGCATTGAGCATAAAGCCCTCTATACATTGGTCGTCCAATTGCTTCTCTTTCTCGTTTCCCTTTACGTCCTGCAAAATCTTATTGTTTTCTTCCTCGTGATGGTCACCGTTATTCTTATCGTTATTGAGAAGGAGATCGGAACCAACTGTTGCATCCTTACCGACAATGAAACGTACAATAGTTAACCTGATATTAGGGTTTGGAATAGGATTGCTAGCCAGCCTCCACGCATAAGCCAATGCCTCGCGGTCGTCTGGGCCGCCAATAAAAAGCATGGAACAGCGGTGGTGACGGTGCCCTTGACCGTTATTTCCATTTTTAGTTTCAGATAAATCGCCGAGGCCACGATCCACAAAGACAGCCACAGAACAGGGTACATTCTCTAAAAGATTCCTGTTAACGTCTCTAACACTAGCGTTTCCACTGTCCATTCCTCCGTCAATGGTGGATTGCTTATGAAAAGGAACAATTATAAGGTCTGCCTGTTTTTCCTCGGCAAGGTTGCAAATGTCCTCGTGTATGGTGGTGTAAGAAGACACAGTCGTTAGTGCCTCGACAGACACGCTGCCTTCTTCACACTCACTCTCAAATTTTTCAAAGGCAGCAACAATGTTGTTCGACGATGTCGAAAAGTGCGCATGCTTTGCGTGATTTTGATTTTTAGTTGTACTGCTCGCACTGGTTGTCCTATTCAAGTTGCATGTGTCGTGCACTATGAGCATGGCCGAAGCATGACTTCTTAGCTCCACCAGGTGGACGGCAAATACAGAAATTGGGGATTGCTTCGTGGGATTTGAAGCCTCCAAGAGATTGATGACGCCGGAAACATTGCTTGTCGAATGGATGCAAGTAAGGATGCGAAACTCCGAGTTTGGTTGAATGCTTCTTATGCTTCTATGCTTGTAATGCTTAGATGTCCCATTGCGCTTGTAGATCAGGTTCAAAATGGGTCCAACAGCAGCCGTCATTACACAAACCGCAGCCATCATTACTGAAAATGTGTGGTGGTCCAAAACCTAATATTCAAATATGCAGCCATATAAGATTGACTGGGACAAACATTACAATTTGATATATAATGCACAAAAGGAATTCAAATCAACAATTGTCGCCAATCATGATATAGCCCCTTTTATTTCTCACATACTAAACTAAATCCTTGGTTTTTTTTATAAGAAACTAGAGACTTTTATAGTCTTTTTTAAGGTCTTCATCAATTGGTCGGAAATTTTGAGTTTGATTCTCGTTAATTTAAGCATAAAACTCAAATAGTGAGCCGGAAAATTTTAGTCTAATAATAGGGGTCAGTTCAATTATTAAATGTATTACATGGGTAATACATCTCATGAGTTTGATTCCTATTAAATGGATTATATATGTACCAACGTTAATCAAACACTATATCTATAATCTATAAACCAGTCACAAAAATCAAATTGCTGCATATATATGAAAAATATATTGATAAAAAAATCTATGAACAAGAGGAATTAATCAAATCCCATACACTTGCATTATTGTAAACAATCAAAACCTGTTGAAAAAGAGATATGCTCAAGAGGAAAAATCTAAAATTAGTGGCTGCCAGAATTGAGGATAACTAGTTATATATATGCGCGAATGTACGTACATACCTTTAAGTCCCTGCCAGAATTGAGGATTATTAGTGAGACTACGCCTTTGGTGTTCATGACAAGTCCGAGGGCGAAACTATCGCGCATTGGCATTTTGTTAATGATAGCAGCGACGAAGGTTACAACAAGTTTAGCGAGCGAAGCCAAAACAATAACTGGCAAGACAAATAGTATGTCTTTTTTGTCAAGGATGACTGCTTGGACATGCGTTCTCATCCCAAGCACTAAAAAGAAGAGGGACATCATAACGTTTGACACAAAGTCGTCAACCTTCTGTATAATTGCGTTTTTGAGCTCTCCCTTTGGCACTATGGCTCCCATTGTGAAAGCTCCGAGAATGGAGTGTGCCCCGCATGCATCACTTAAGTACCCGAAAAATAAAACCCCGGCTAGAATGAAGCATATTTGAGGATCCATGTCGTAGAATGAAGTACCATTGTCGTTAGAAGCGTCGTTGGTGTTAGAAAACATCCATGACAAGGTAGGACGAACCACAAAAACTAAAAATATTATTAATGCTGAGGTGGATAAGACCGTATAAACTTGATAACCGTCACTTGTTGAGGCCACTGTGCCCACAAGAAGAATCCAACAGATGAGGTCGCTGGTAACACTTACAGACAAGGCCGTTCGTCCAACGTCAGAGTGGAGGAGCTTCACGTGTGCAAGTACTCCGGCGAGTTCCCCGAAGTTGGTGGAGGCAAGAATGATTCCCCAGAATATAGGACCGTACGTACGAGCCTTTAGTTTAGTAACAGTAGTAAGACCATCCTCCTGTCGTGTTAGGACTCTGTACAAGGCATAGCCAAAAGGTAGGGGAAGAAGAATACCAGCAGCGGCAATGCTCAAAACTTTTTTTCTAGCGTGGAATATTGGCTTGAAATCCACTTGCAAACCCAGGACGAACATGTAGTAAATCAACCCTAGGTTGGCCATTGTCTCCATGGTCAACGTGCTTTTGAATGGAAATACGTAGTTGCGAGCGAACGCCGTGCCCCCAAACGCAGATGGACCCAATATCACGCCACCCTTTCAATATGATTAATGAGTGCTTCAATTCGTATTCATTCATTTACATTAAATTTATAAATAAAATGATAATTTTCTATTTAAATTAAGGAATTTCTTTTGATAGTGTACGTACAACTAGAACCAACAATACAAACTGCCAGCATGTAGAAAAAGAAAATAATGAAAAGTGCGTGCATGCATGACATATTAATGTAGGATATACGAGGAAGGTAAAAGAGTCTATATATTGGTGAAAGGAGAAACCTTGCAAATTGGACTACTCCCCATATTGCCAATTGATTTTATGGTGGAACCTTAACTTTCTATATGATATGTACGTAGCCTCATGCATAATATATATATATATATATATATATATATATATATATAATAATATATAAATTTGACAAATATAAATACACACACACGTTTAGAGATAATTAAAAAGAAGAGAGAATTACAACTTACAATAATGTGAGAAATAACGCGAGGAATGTGAAAAGGTGTAAGAAGCAGCTTGAGAAGGTAACAAAGGGACATGATCACAGCTTGTTGGATGAAGAAGAGAGGAAGAGTTGAAAGCAAGGCATTTTCAGCCTTCCACAAGCCAGTGGTGTGTGTCAAAGTTTTATTAAAACACACCCTTATAGTTTCTACATTCGCCTCCAGTACTACCCAACCATTGCCCCGTCGTTGACCCCGAGCAGCCATTACGTACGTACGGTACGTAATAAAAAATGGCTAGCTAGGTTTTCATCATCTGAAACTGGTATAGACATATACCCCAACCATAACCATAATATTATTTCCTCATCATAGCCAGCTCCTTATTAGTTGGGATCGAAGAGAAAAGCAAACAAAAAGACAGCTAATGAAAGCTTAATACAAATTAATTAAAGAGGCAAGTACACATAATACATTCCTCATTTTACCAAGTCAACGAAGACGTTGATCTGTCCTAACCTATCTTTGTTGTGAAACTTACTAAATTAAACAGATGCGGTTCTTCATAATCGATTTTTTTATAATGTTAAAAATACTAAATTTGAGTCCTTAAAATGTGCCACATGGCATGCCGTAAAATAAAAGTATATCTGTGGTCATCATGCATTTGAATGGAAATACGTAGTCGCATTAAACGTCGTTTCCTCAAACACAGATTGACCCAAAATCACACCACCCTTTCAATATGATTAATGAGTGCTTAGTATATTCATTCATTTTCATTAAATTATATACATGCTAATTTTCTATAGAAAGGAATTTAACTCTTTTGATAGCGTAAGTACGTAGTAGCACCAATAATACTACCTGCATCAGCATGTCACGTAGAAAAAAAGGGTAATGCTAGGGAGATTAAATTTGGAGACAAAATTTTGAAAACTAAAGGACATGGAAGTTGATGATTGGTTGATTACTTAAACATTGATAAATGTGCTTATTTATATTGGTTACACATCATTTAGTTTGCAAATTTAGTTTGCAAATTTAATCTCTCTAACATTATGATGCATATTGGTAGCTTGCGGCTGCCACAGTAGATAAAAAAATAAATCGAGGAGAGATTAACACACACATACATACATACATGTGTAGAGATAATATATTGAGAAGAAGAGAGAATTACAACTTACAATAATGTGAGCAATGATGCGAGGTTAGTGGAAAGGAGGAAGGAGAAGCTTGACAAGGTAACAAACGGACATGATGACAGATTGTTGGATGAAGAAGAGAGGAAGAGTTGAAAGGAAGGCATTTTCAGCCTTCCACAAGTTAGTGGTGTGTGTTAACGTTTTATGAAAACAGACCCTTATAGTTTCTAGATTTGCCTCCAGTACCACCCAACCATTCCCATGTTCTTGAACCGGAGAATCCATTATTAATTACTATGAAATCTGCTCTCTAATTAAACTCAAGAGATTAATTAGCTAGCTAGGGTTTCATCATATATATGCAACTAGTCCAAGGCAAAAGCAAACACAGAGAACTAACGAAAGAAAAAGAAAAAGCATCGAAGATAAGCGCTCAATACTAATTAAAGAGGAAGTACACGTGAATGATAAAATTATAGTTTCGGGAGTTTAGCAACTAGTTCAGTTAGTTGATTAGTTGTTTAGCTGCGGCTAAGCTAGCTGTAACGTATGGTTTTCCGCTTAATTTGGTTGCCATATTCTTCTTAATCCAGGATAGACTACTTTTGGGGTTTTCATGCATACAATTAATTCAAGGGAGTTTTAACGAAAGCCTGTGGTACTGTTAACTTTAACGAAAAACCATATTTTTATACTAAAAAGTCAAACCTGGTACTATTCACTTTACTTTTTATTTTGTCGTTATCATTAAAACTGAAAGTTTTCAAGCCATTTTCATTAGTTTTCCTTTAATTCAATAGGTTTGTGTGACTCCCAAGTCCTAACTAAAATTTGGTGCCAGCCCACATACATAGTCCTCATTTTGCCTAGTCAACGTTGATATATCCTAACTCACTCTAGCCTATAGATAATTAAGGAAAATACTAGAATAGTATCACGAAATGATATATTCTTGTTTTCAGTCATTTGTATACTAGATAAAGTTAGAGCTAGTAACACAAAGTCATCCATTTGTATATATATATATCTAGGTTTTCATAATGTTATTTTGACTAATATTAATTGGATTGTGATATTCACACACCCCTTTTTACTTTTCACACACTCTTTTAATTTTCAATCATCAGATCAAATGAATTGAAGAATATTAAAGGACATAAATTAATAAGAAATGTATGAAAAATAAAAAAAGGGTGTGTGGATAACACACCCCTATTAATTAATCAAGCTCATACATACAATTTTTGTATGCTGTGATAGTAAACATTCACATTAGTTCTTTAAATTGGGAGCTTTAATAAAAAAAATTTGGACTAACTTTAATTTAACAAAACCACCATAAACTATTATTTAACAAAAAAAAGTAATATTTAATCATAAGAACAAAACTATTCATATGTCGTATGCCCAACAAACATTAAAACACACGAGCTGAATTAAAAGCCTAACAATCAATAATTTTTTTCTCCAACCCATGTCCCTGACAAAAACCTCCCGTTAGAAATAAACCTGCACTTATTTATAAGTATGCGACTGCCTCATTAAAACTAATATTTTATTGTAAAAGATGAGTATTTTATTGTATTCATTTATTTTAAGTAATTAATTGTGGCTTCGAAAAGTATCATAAACTAATATTTATCTTATGTGATTTATTGTTGGAGAAGTAGCATCCGTATTGCCAATATTTCCAACATAAAATCCAACAGTTCATGTTCATGTTCAATCTTAAAAAAAAAAAAAAACCACATCCTCAATTAAACTTTTGCATCTAAATTTCATTTGCCTCAGGGATAGAAAATGTATTTGCAAGATCAGGTCAAGGTTGACTAGTATATCCAACTAATCAGAGTCTGCCCATATCAGTTTCACAACACCATATCCTAAACTTGAACACATTTACATATCAATTCAAACAGTAGTGACAAAGCAATGATGAATTAAAGTATGTCGGATTGACTAGTCAAGCTTATTAATCAACTAAGTACATATTCATCAGTTAACCAAACACAAATTACAAATCAAACTTATTCACTACAAGTTTTCCTAGTCAATAACAATTCATTTCGTAGCACATAATATGCAGTGTAAACTTAGTCACAAACACATATCAATTAACAACTCAAAGGATGCATGAACATATACTAGTAAATAAGATATGTGAACAAGTTTAAGAGACAAAAGACACAATAAGTTTTTGGCTGGAAAAACCCACATCTAGGTAAAAAAATGAGGGACCATCCATTGAGTCAAATCCACTAATGCAAATAAGGTTCATACAAAGATCCACACAAAACTCAATTTCTAGATCTAATCTACGGATCAACTTTACCTTTGTGCAACCTTACTGTGCACGAGTTGAGGATTCATTCGGTCTTCACAAAGTGGTCGCTCCTCATGAGCTCATCACCTTGTGGCACCGAAATAGAGTTGTCTCTAGTCTTCACGAGATGACAACTCCTCTTAAACTCTTCACCTTATGGCACCGAGATCAATACCAACAAATGCAAAATAATATGATGATAATGATCTAATCAAATCTGGATTCAATGACCGGTCAGTTTCTTCAGTCAAACAGTCGAAAGAAGAAACTGACAAGAATCCAAAAACGGGTCAGTTTAAAGATGAAACTTGAAGAACTTGACCACAAAATGAAAACAAAACCATGAATAACAATGCAACCCTATTCTGCAATGATTGGGTGTTTAATGCATGAACATGGTTTTATGGCTAGGGTTTCTGATGAAGAACACAAGAGGCAATCCAAGGTTTAAAAAACTCTTTGAAAATGTAAAATTTCCTAGCCAAAATAATTGAGCATATAAGAAGATTCAAACAAGCATTTTCAAAGAATTATAAGTATTCAAAGAAGAATATTACCCAGAAATAATGCTTGATGCTCCTAGGAAGGTCTGAGATGGAAAGGAAAAACAAACCCTCTCAAAATTATAAACTTTCTATTTAAAAAGGAAATGAAATCCTCTAACCCTATTAAAACAAATCCTTTGATTTCTACAAACAAAGGTGCAAAGAGACACTTGTTAAATGTACAACCTGTTTGTACCATACTTAGGGCATCCGTATTTAGACCTCGTATAAATACTCGAGGGACTCAAATGTAATTATGTAATAAATGGAGGGGCAAATATGTAATAAGTGAGGATCCCTTATTCTATAAAAGGGCATCCTCACCCTCACAAACTTGAAGCCTCATCCTCACATACAGAGGCTCTCTCCCTCACAATCCTTTCACAAACAGAAAAATACAATATCAGTGTGGAAGTAGCCCAAACATTGGGGTGAACCACGATACATCTTGTGTTATTTATTTTCTTGTAAATT